CGTGACGCTCTGACGAGGCACCCAGAGGCTGGAGTGTGAGCCAAAATAAAGCCATCTTCTTTACACTTGTTCTCTCGGGTGTTTTGGTCACATCGTCACAAAAATTAGCTAATGCGTCAATGAAGAGAAAATCATGCACAGAACACAAGGTTAGCTTGCTGGGACTAAGGCTGGGTTTTTTCTGCTTTTTCCCAAATTTATTGCATATTTTTGTATTTTTGTGTGCATAAATGTCTATTTTATATGTATTGGCTATATTTACAAGTATGTAGATATACTATTTTACACACACGTCCATTCACACACGTGCACACCACACACACTCACACCACACACACAGACAAACGCAAAAAGACAAAAGAATCCATCTGTAGCCATAGTAAGGACTAAACTTTATAAACCGTCAGACACGGCTCAGCCGTTGAGAGTGCCGGCCGCTCTTGCGAGGACCCGGCTTTGGACCCACCCACCTGGTAGCACAGAACCATCTGTAACTCCAATTCCAGGGACCAGACTCCCTCTTCTAGCCTCTCCAGGCGTCGAATGCAGGTGGCGCCCACGCAAGCCCAAATTAAAAGATAAATAAATACATCTTAAAAATGCAATCCATCAGTGGGTGGGTAAAAGTCTCGCCTCGTGTTGAGACTGTGCTTTGCTCTAGGAACAGGGCCCTTCTCTTCGCAGTAACCCTTCTAGATGTAAATCAGGGCCTTGCTCCCCTGCTTTCACTCACGGTCCTCTTTGATCACGACTTCACACAATGAAAAGATACTTCCTTGTGCAAAGCAAGCAGTTAGCTTCTCATAAGCCCGAACAACAAAGGCCCCTCTGTGAGGACCAGGAATTCCTGTTGGAATGGAGGGTAGGCCCCCAGCTGAACCGTATCCAAGGAAGATGTTGCAAAGCTTGCAAAGCTTGTTGGGAGAAAGGAGCGCTGCGTGAGATCTTTTCTTTCTGCTCAGATATTGGCCTTGCTTAGGGTTGGGGGTGGGAGGCCATCAAAGGAGAAACAGAAGCCCAGCCTGAATGTGTTTGCCAATTACAAGGAAAAGCCCTGGTGCCAACTCAGGCTTATCATGTTCAGAATTTAAAGCCTTTTGGAAAGGAAATGGTTTCCCTCTCATGAAAAGAACAGAAGGTTATAGAAAGAGACTGTCCGCTTTGTGATACAAACTGAGGCAAAAACCAATCTACAATGAAGTCACAGCTGGCTCAGTTCACTTCTGTCATGCCCACCGGGGAAGGTGGCACGGTGCGTGTGCGCCGGGCACGGTGCCACGAGTCATAGACTGCAGCCTGGCTTTAACATGGCGTTCCCCGCCCCTCCTCGCCTACCCTGAGCCGATCTTCTAAGTTTGCATGCCCCGCAAACCTTCTCTGCTCCCCATCCTCACATCCTTCCCCTCCTCCCAGGCTTCATGGGGATGGCTTAAGGAATGATCATCACTGCCTCTGTGAGGCCAGCATGTCCAGGAACGTTGGGAAATGTTAGCGCCTTTCCCTTCACCCTTCTCCAGGCAGAACTGCCCCTTCCTGCTACAGGTACTTGTGTTCTCTGGTCATGACAAATACCTTAAGACAACGCCAGAAAAATTGGGTAGTGATGAGCGGGAGAGGGAAGGAGAGCCACTCTCTTCGACAAGAGGGGCTCCTGTAGGCCATCTTCCTCATTGCATACCACCAAGGAGCGAGGAGAATGGTAGCTGCCATATCTGTACCTTATCACCTGCCAACCCTGAGCTGTCCGTATACCTCAGCTGAAGGAGCAAAGCCAGAGAGGTGAGAAACGGAACTACAGGCTACACAGCTCCTTAGTGGTAAGGCTGAGAGTCAGAGCTTTCCGGCTGTAGGCCTAGGCCTGTCTCTCCAAGTGAAAACGCCTTTTCAAAGATGTGCAAACTCTGAGTCGCTAGCCGCCTTTGACCCCTAATGCCTGTGGGCAATCCGGCGGGGTCAGCAAAAGAAACACTCCTTCTGAGATTAGCGGTGGCTCCACCTGAGAACTACCCAGCATACAGAGGACAGATTTCTATCCCGTGGGCAGTAGCCGGGGAACACCAAACAGTACAAACATCTTTACTAACAGGCAAGGGACATGACACCTCCAAGGGTTTAATGTCCTCAAATGTACTGGGAGAAAGACTCGCTAAGAGCCTCTAGCCAGTAGAACGCTAGGCGTGTTCTGTTCCCAAGGCCAGTTGGGTAGCATCGATCCCACACAGCTGTTAAGCACCTGCCATGTGGCTGGGTAGCGGCAGTGGGGAGCCAAGCACCTGACTGTATTTAACTCTCAGTGAGTTAAATTAAATAACCACCTGTGGCCGGCAGGCAGGCATCGTATTGGACTGTGTAGCTCTAAAACATTCCAAAAGGTTGACAGATTCTCACATCACCTGGCCTCATGCTTGTTTATGTTTTAGCTATAAACTTTATGTTTGAAGTGTAAAGGGAATTTTTTAAAGTATTGATGGACAAAGAGACCCAGAAGGAAACAATACACATGAAGGCTTGGGAGCAGGATATCATGGGGGTGCTTGAAACGGTGAAAAGATCAGGATGACTGGAAATAGACAGTTTCAGAGATGCTTGGAGAAAACCGTGGGTGTTACATACTGGATGCTTCGAGGACTAACTGAGGTCGCTGACTTGACAGACAGCACAGAGCCACTCCAGGTTCCCTGCCTGCCGGGGAACAGCTTGAGAGCCGTGAGTCGCAAGGCTGGTACCACCCGTCTCCTGGGTCTTGGCTTAAATTCATTTTCTAACTTCTTTATTCTTGTGGTGCTGTAAATGTATTTATGCCGTGGTGGGGTGCCCAGGGAAGCCAGAAGAGGGCATCAGACAGATCACCGAGAGCTGGAGTTACAGGAGACAGTGTGATGCCCAGTGCGGGTCCTGGGGACCCAACTCGGATCTTCTGGAAAAGCAGTAAGCATTCGTAACTACTGCACCGTCTCCCCAGCCCCCGGGGTTTCACACTGCGCTCTCAGAGGTTCCACCCTCCACACAGATGGAGGCTACCTGTCACTCTAGTCCTCTTCCTCCAGCTATTTCCCGTGAAGCTCTGTCTCTGGTTCTAATATCTGGCTAGCCACCATGTGACATGCCCTATGATGGGTCGGGGAGAGTGACCTATTTATGACCCTTTAATGAGTTCAGTCCTAGGCAGCTGCCTGACTCAGCGACATCTCACTGTATACTCATGGGCATTGAAGAGTGGCTGCCAACAGACAGTTCAGTATCGTTTTCAAAGCAAACACATGACCTCATCAATTCCTCCGAGATAACACACCAGAAAAAAAATGGTCCTCAGCACCGAACCCTTGCTGGGGCTTGCTCTCTCAAACACCACTGCTGTTCCTTTTATTTCTTTCGCCCCAGACTTTTCGCTCCATCCACGGAGAGTTGTCTTTTCCCTCCCAGTCTTTCTTCCTGAGTGCTGCAGACTCCAGGGAAATCCGTGGTCCCTCCAGGATCCTCAGTGACTTATTCTTTAAACATCACAAGTCCGGAATATTCATTCCGCCTCACAGGAGGCTGTTGCTCTGTAGGGCAAGTCACGCAGCATTTCCCGCAGCTTCCTGGTACCAGGGCACAAAGCAGGAGCTCAGAATTCTTTGTGGCTGCGTAAACAGCAACCTCCTCGTTGGCACGCTCCTCTGCTAAGGCTTTCCTGTCCTGACTGGCCGGCACTAGTTCCCCGCCGGCCTGACTCAGGCTGTCAGAGCTGCCCAGGCTCTCGGTGTCCAGCCTCCCTCGCCTGTCTGTCTTCAGTGCTGTTGTGCAGACTCTGAGTTCTGTGTACGCGTTCTTGCCGCCTTGCTTTCCCCATACGGGTGGGTAGGCCCCGAGTGCACCAACTTCACCGAGCACATCCTGTCCTTCCCAAGCACTATGCACTCCTAATACGATAAATAACGACTGGGACGGTGCAGTGAGAACAGCAGGGCTAGGACGTTCAATGTTCTCAGGTTTTTAGAGAAAATGCTGACTAAAAATGAATACGGAGTAAAAATGCGTGACTATCAGAATATGAAACTGAATCACTGCCCGAAAGTCATCATCCGGTCCTGTATGGAGGGCTGGAGTTCATCACCTCACTATTTCATTCCGTTGGGAGTAGAATAAAAGCGTCTTGAACACATGTCTGTACCTAGTGGAGCATTCTACCGAATGGAGAAGTATTTCCTTGCCTTCTAAATTCTCTACGTCGTTTTCATTATAAGCAAAGAGACTTTCTAAATTACGTATTCTGTTGAATGGTTATACTCTTACTAGGTGAAGCATTGCTTGATAGGTCCCCAAGAAGCAGATTTGTCTAATTCCTCCCCCTCTTCCCTCCGTATCCATTAGAGTGGAGGCATATTGCCATGCAGTGTTCACTAACACTAACCCCAAGTGTGTTAATATGTTCACATCGCTCTAAGGAAGCACCCTAAACTGCCTGGCTTATAAACAGCAGAAACCCAGTCTCACAGTTCTGGAGGACTCTGAGATGAAGGCCCTAGCCGATGGTGTCTGCTAGCTCTTATGTCCTAGATAACCATCCTGTCGCTGTGATCTGGACTGGTGAAGGGCCAAGGGCCCTAAGGCCTCTGTGTGAGGACCTGCCCCACGATCCATTCACTCTCACCTTTTGGTACGTTCGGTTCTTCAGATGTAGCAGGCGGAGTTTACAAGTCTAGCACCGTCATCGTGTGATGATGAGTTTACGTGTTATTCTGTTTAAATCTCATTACAATCTCATTTTATAAATGGGAACAGCGAGACGTTAGTTAATTGATTGCTAAGGGCCCAGAGCTGGGCTGCCAAGTCAGGCCTAACAAGCCTCAGGCCTCTTGCCTGTGTGAGCCCACTGCTCCAGGCCGGAAACCCCACGGCAAAATCCCTATCCTGAGCCCTCAGGAAATGCCTCCTTCTGTCATCTTCCCGTGCAGGCCCCCTGTGAAGCTATGAACATGAGGCTACAGCACCACTCAATTTCCACTTTGTTGTTACAGGAAGAGAAGTGTGACACCCAGAGAAGCCTAATGGAGAAGCGCCCCAGCAGGTAAGCCAGTGTTTTCCGGTTTGTGTGTTGTGGGGTGGTCTGTTCTTTCCACTTTCCATTAAATTTCATATCACTCAGGATAGAGACTGCCTTTTGTTTCCTATAACAGTGAAGCCAGTGGATAGGGCAGTTCTCAAAATCTGCTTCTTTCTGGCTCAGATTTCAGTTCAGTTACGTGATTTATTTGTTTTAAGGTTTTTTTTGTGGGGAGGGAGCTTGTTGCTGTATTGTTTTTTAAGTTTTCTTAAATTTTATTTATTTATTTATTTGTGTGTGTGTGTGTGTGTGTGTGTGTGTGTGTGTGTGTGTGTACATGTGTGTGTACTTGTGCCTGTGTGGAAATCAAAAGACAACAGGTGGGAATCTGTTCTCATCTTCCACCACCAAGGACCAGGGCCTTGAACTCATGAACTCAGTCAAACCAGCTCACCTCGCTAGCTCCATGTGATTACTTTTCTTATTTTTATTGTTGGGAAGAGAACTAAAAGTGTGCATGATGAGACAACAAACCAACCAGCTCTTCACACTGAAAGTTTCCCCGTGTCCCGAGGAGCTTGGGCATCTCTAGTGACATTCATGCCCCGCAGCACGCTGGCTCAAAGTGTCATCCCTGGACTGGAGCCTCACACCCCTAGAAATCTGTCAGGAATGCGTCTTACTTAGGCCTCACCCCAGACTTCTGAATCAGAAGTACCCACAATGGCCAGCCCTGAGGCGACTCCAGTGTATCAGTCAGCTGAGGGACCAGGTGCTGGGTTGTACCTTCTGTTGTTTTGAGTGTCAAATGCTTCCCTCAGGCTTGTGTGTTGAAGGCTTGGGACCCACCCAGTGGCCGGGGGGCATTTGCAGAGGTGCTAGATAGTTTGGTAGGACACTCCTGGCAGGAGGACATGGGTCATTAGAGGTACATCCTGGGAGACTCTATCTTGATGTGGCACCTTCCTGGCTCTCTCTGCTTCCTGGCTGCTTTTTAGCACAAGCTTCCACAGCCGTGTTATTCTGCCTGACCTCGGGTCCAAGCAGTGGATCAGCTAGGACACTAAACCACAGTAAGTCTTTTCTTCTTTGAAATAATCTCTTGGTTATTTGTCACAGAGATGAAAACCCAAGCAACACATCACACTCTCCATCCGTTTATTCCTGACTCTCCTCCCTGGCTGCCTCACCAGCTAACTTGCAGGATCATCTCCTACTTTTCGGCTCCGGAACACCCAGCCTGTTGCTACCCTTCTCCATGTATCTCAGCCATGGCATATCCACTGTCCTTGTTCCCTCTGGAAAGTTCTGGACCATCCCGCTGTCCCTTCTCTGCAGAGCTTTTTCATCCTTTCCCAGTCAATGTCATCTGCCTGTCTACTCCTCCTGCCACCTAGCGAAAGGGCCTGACTCCTAGCTGCTCTGCATCATCCGTTACTGTTGGCCCAAATGTGTCTTACTTTCCGCACTCATTTCACCTACATTTCAATCTCTTTTCATGGCTTTATCCTGGACCATTCCATCAACTATGGGTTCTAAATAATGAGGTCAAGCCACCATCTCAGTACACCAGATTCCCCATGCTCAAAGGTGCTGTGTAACTGCTTCTGTTTCTTTCTCCAGTTGCATTAGACTGCAGTCCCTGGGACTCCCTCCCCCCCTCATTTAATAACCAATAATGGAAATCTATTTAAATTATGCTTTAAAATGCACCAGGAAAGTACACATATGCGGATGTAGCAGTCGGTGTCTAAGCTGGGAGGTGAGATGAAAAGGCAAGAAAATAGCCAATGACGAGATCAGGCAAGATTTGCAGACAGCAGCATGGCCAGGAACAGAAACAAGCAATGGTGCGCTAGAGAGTTGTGTCTGGGAGTGTCCTTTGCAAGGCTCTTAGGTTGAAGTGACTCATTCAGTCAGTGCTTATAGGTCACTGCAGCTCCATGCTTCCTCTGTAGCTGCCGTAAACAAGGCCTTGGTGGATTCCAAACCACTGCTCCCAGGTCCCCGTCACATTTTCAGAGCTCCTCGGTACACATGGCCTTGTTTTGTGTTCCTTGTTCAAGGTGCCGTATTGAAAATGCTGCTGATTCATCATTAGGCCAGTTTGGGGCTAGCAGCACCACAGCTCTGAAGTCTGTTTCCTCTGTGAGGCATGCCACAGCTTTCTTTAGCTTAGAGCCACGGGGCAGCACCTTGGTGCTGTGCCTGGGGCCTTTAAACAGTGAAGCAATCAAAAATGGAACACAAGAAGTAGAGAGCGCACTCATACAGAACAGTAATTCAGCCAAGGAAGCAGAAAACTCTTCCTGTGTGAGCTCAGCCAGAAACGTCGATGTCAGGTGGTTCTCACATTTGTTGCTCTGTGTGTGCCCATGTGCCTCACAGCATGGAAGAAGGACTCGTGTGTGAGTTACTAATAAATTTTATCAAGTGAGCAACATTCAAAGATGTGGACCACAGGATTTGAGGATCAAGTCTAGCTATAAAATACCAGTATGTAAGAAGCTCTATGTAAACTTGGTGTTTTTACCGTCATCTTCATTCTTGCATGGCATTAAGGATCCTGAGGCCTTGGGCATCTCTGGGAAGGTTTTGGTGGAGCGGTGATGATGGCTCTTCGGACTTGTGGTCTAAAAGGACCGTGTGGCTTCTGGGTGGCTAATGCAGTGAGAGGAGACGTGAACAGAGGAGGAGACAGACTCGGAATAGCGTGGCAACCCGGGCAGCAAGGAGATGCTCTGGCCTGAGAACAGGCCAGAAGAAATGGCCGTGGTAGGGGAGAGTGTGTCTAAGAGAGAGCCAAAGAGAGAGCCAGGTCTGGTGGCACTGGTCCGTAATCCTGGCACGCGAGAAGCTGAGGCAGGGGACTGACATGAGCTTGAGGCTAGACAGCGATATGTAACAAGACTCTGTCTCAAGAATCAGAGGGAGGGAGGGATAGGCGGATGGCTACCTTTCTACTGCATTCCCCATGGAAACTGGCCTGAAAATTCAGCAGTGCCACCTGCTGTCAGGTCTTCACCAAGAAGACTTGCTGTTCTTCCTCGGGTGTCGGAGTTCTTTGCCTGTGTAGCCTACTCTCTGGCATCGGTCAGTCTAGCGTTTATAACACTTCATTGGTCACCTAAAGTTTTTTGTTGTTTTTCAGTTTGGGGGTTGGTTTAGTTTGGTTTGGTTTGGGGGGCTGGGGTTTTTGCTTATTTTTGTTTTGTTTGTGAAAGACATAGAGTCCCACTCCAGGTTAGCCTGGAGTTTACTATATAGCTCAGGCTAGCCTCACACTCATAGGTTGATCCTCCTTGCTCCACCTCCGGCGTCCTGACGGTTTAGGCATGAGTCACCACACCTGGCTGGTCATCAGTTTTCACACCTTTCTCTCTTGCTGGACTATGAATCTGCTTAGATGCCTGGTATCAAGTCCAGAGATCAGGTACTCAGGAAATAATAGTGATTGCATGGACATGAGTCCTTCAACAGGCATCTGAGGCCTCTTCCCTGTGTCCTAGTCACTGACAGAGAATCTTCCACCCAAAAGACGCTCAGGCACCTGAACCACATTCATTATTTTAAATTCAAAAACACTTTTTACCATGCTTTAAAAACACTAAACACATAGGGTCATCCTAGAAGTACAATTTTTTTCTTGTCCTTTTACCATGCTTCTTTCTGTCTTGGGTTCATAAACTCACAAAATTAAAGGGGGTGGGTGAAATGTCTCATCTGGAGGATTCTTTTTGACTTGAGTACTGTATTACTGTATTACTTGAGTACTGTATCATCTCAGGCTGACATACAAAATGCCATGGAGTGGGTAGCTGAGCCATCACAAATGTGTTCTTCCATAGCTTCCAATGGAGGTGAAGAGGTGTGAACCTATTCTGTTACTGAGGCTCATGGCTGGCAGCCTCACCCTGACATCATACAGTTGCTCACGGCAGATGGGAGCTTGCTTTCTCTCTCCCCCTGCCCCTAACACTCACAAAGTCCTCCAGTCTTATCAGTTTAGATCACTATCCTTAAGACCTCATCCAACCTCTAGAAATCTTATCATCAAGTGCAATCAGAGTGGATAAGAGCTTCAGCAAGTTCATTTCAGGGATGTACTTTGGTCCACATTAGTCACTGTAGGACTCTGGAAATTGCCCTTCATTTATCCCAAGCATGTGGGCGTGTATCATTGTGTCTTTGTATCATTGTATCTTTGTATCATTGTATCTTTGTAGCCTTCAAGACTTTCCTAAGCTTCTCTCCAGGTGCCTTCCTCTAAAACATCCTCCTCTGCAGAACTTGGCTTTTCCCATATGCGTCAGGACTCCTCCCAGTTAAAGCTGATTACCAAAATGAGATAGAGCCTGTGTTGGAGACACACCCCAGTTCCCTGGTGATTTGGGGATGAGTTTGGGGGAGCATCACCTGTTTCGCTTAGTCACTTCACAGTAACAACAGACAAGGCTTAGTATCCTCACAGTGACAACAGACATGTCTAGAACTAGTATATATCAAGAACTCTCAAGCCAAGCACACTTTGCCAGGTGTCCTGGTCAGCGTTCTATTATTTCGAAGAGACACCATGACCATGGACACTGTTGTGAAAGAAAACATTTAACTGGGGCTGGCTTTCCGTTTCAGAGGTTTAGTCCGTTATCATCAAGGTGGGAAGCATGGTGGCGTGCAGACAGACCTGGTGCTGGAGAAGGAGCTGAGAGTTTTCCATCTGGGTCCACACGCAGCAGGAAGAGTAAGACACTGGGCCTGGCTTGAGCCTTTGAAACCCCAAAGCCCAACAAGCCCACACCTCCTAATCCCTCTCAAATAACACCATGCCCTAAAGACCATGCATTTAAATATTTGAATCTATGGGGCTGTTCTTATTCAAACCACCACACCAGGTGTCATCCTCAGAACAACCCTGCAAGGCTGGCTATTACTCTTTTCCCCACCTTGATGTCAGCAAAACTGAGGTTGAGGGAAGATCTATGGTGAGCTTAAGGCCACCCAGCTTCTTACAACACACTCCAGAG